ACACAAATGCATCCCTCTCATCCACTCTGATTATTTTTATTTTATACCATAACCATCGATGAACAACCGTCGTTTCCTCGTGGACCCAATTTTGGGTTCAAGACTACCAGTGTTCAACTCCGTAGCCTTGTCATTTTGAACCCAATCCAAGGGTACTCCTGTATCACGTATTTGGAGAAATTTGCCTTTATTGAGAATTTTTTTATGCAACTAACCAGCATTGGCGTAACATGGAGAAGAAACCCTCCCACGGTTAGCCTGACTACAAGAGGACGTCAGCTCATGATCCTTTGAGGATATTTTGCATATATAAAGTTACTTTTTGTATGGAATTATCTTTGGTTAAATGAATTTCATAATTGAGTGCAAAAAATTTTCAATTCACTTAAAAATTTCTCGAGATTTATAATACTTCTATATAATACTTCAAACTCATTATTACTCATTTTTCAACCATCGTTACTCAACGATGCAAATTTAAAAAAAAAAAAAATATTTTAATGTGTTTGCTGTATCATTACAAAAAAGCTGCTTTTACAGAGACCTATTCTTCGTGGCTATTTTCATAAAAATTTTTTACTCTAGGGCAAAAAATTTAAATATATACGCAAGTAAACAATATTTATCTGAAATATTTTATAATTTCATAGAATTGAGTCTTTAAAATTTTTTAAAAATGTTTTTTCCATCATTAAAAACAGGTCTACTATTTCATTGAATAAAACACTTAATTTTGGGTCCAACTTTACAAAAATATGAAAATTTAAGGTACTTATGTTAAATATGTTATGTTTTAAAAAATATTAATTTCTGAGGTTTAATTTGTTTGAAAATAATTGTAATTTGTTCATTGCATAATTGCTTATGATGCTTTATTTTAACAAAAGGGAGCACTTATTTTTGCTTACTATTTTACGAAAAAATTATTATTCGAAAGTAAATTGTAATATTCTTTGTTCAAAATTGACACAAGTAGGAAGTATTTATTTTAAAAAAATATAGAATTCTGAGGAGAAATTATTTTGCAAAAAGGCGAGAAAGGTTCAAGAAGTTTTGAGCAGTTAATGTTGTTAGATATGCTTACAAAAATAACTAAAATTTTGCAAAAGAAAAATAAATATTTGCTTACCTAATATATCTTTCAGATAAATATCAAGTTACGATAAGAATGACACAGCATGTTTTCCGTTCTCGAAAGATGAAATTCGAACAAAATGATCATAAACTATTTAAATGACATACATAGTCATAAAAGTTAAAAAAAAGCTTTGCATAGAATTTCATTTTAGTTACGTAGGTGTTTTTCGCTAGTTTCTTAAGTTTTATGAAACTTAGAACACCAACTGACTTACAAATCTGAAAACACATTTTTCAATCGCGCCTAGATGAAATAACAATAAGTAAAAAATGGATTTGTCAGGTAAATTTTCTTTATTATTAAAAACGTTTACAAAAAATTACATAATCAAATAATTGAGTATTTTAATTCATTTCTCTCTCACGTCCAGTTTTTTATTAATTTTATAGTGATCTAATAAGTGGTTAGAATTCAGCACTTAAGCGCTTTTTTTTTAATGTGATTTTCTCGCACTGTTGTAGGAGCGTGCAAAATCTACAGACGATATCGAAAGTGCTACTAAATTGGTGTTTTCGAAAGGGAAATAATTTAACGTATGGTGTGAAAGCACGTGAGCGGGGTGTAAACATTCCGCATTAGAAGAGTTTTAGGCTTAAATTTAAATTTTATTCTTTTGAATTGTATATGAAAGCTTTATTTGATGTTAACTTGAAAAAAATGTTCCTTAACACAATTTTTTTGAGTTGTACAACAAAAAACTCGGAGAGATATTACACAACAAATTTCACAGTGCAGTGAGAAATCCGACAGACAGCGCAACTACAAAGTTAAAAGGGCATGCTGAATAGGCCAGATTTATTTATAAACTTAACAACGATTTTTTTCTCGAAATTCTAATTTTATATTGTAATTTTAATTACTTTTTTACGAAATTTTTCTAACTTATTTTGTTTTAAATACGAACTATTTATACAATGATGTGGGAAAATTCCAGCACATAAACTATTGATATAGCATAAAGGTGATGATTATGTAAAATACAGGTCTGTAAATATCTTTATTTTATATGCTCATGTTTACGCTGATGCTGAAAGTGAGAAAATTAAGATATAAGAAGACAAATGCAACATTTTAATATTTTTATTGAAAATTTTAAAAATACTTCATTTTTTAAACATTTGTTATTTTACACGATAATTTATACAGCGGATATTCAAGTATTGTAGCTGGAGGCGGACGGCTCACTGACGGAAAAAGTTGTGCTAGATAAACTAAATTTAATAGACTTGTTTATACAACTAAAAGATGATGTCTATTCAGACTTGGCACAAAAACTGCTAGTAGCGCCATTATGAACACGTAAATCATGGCAACTTTAAATACGTGCTCTACAGTTCGTAAGCGTTATTTTTCGTTGAATTTTGACATAGTGAGTTGCAGTTAGTCAAGAAGTCATTAATAACAGCTCACTGACTTTGAGTCCCGCAGTGGACTGATCGTTAGGACACGGTTCCCAGCAGATCACCGAAGTCAAGCATCACTGGTTGCGGTCAGTGTGCGGGTGGGTGACCACTTGGTCCAGTCTGCGTAGGGACCGAGGGTGTGCGGTATTGGTCCTCGTTAAACTGTTCTACCGTAAAGTGCTCGACTTCGCGAGCAGGTCGTCGGGCTACTGAAGCGGGGGTGCCATCCCCTCTGCAGAGGATCAAAATTGTGATGGCATGTCTTCGGATCATCCTCAGGGATGTTTCCCAGACCGTCGCCAATAACCCATCGCGCAGCTCTAGTACGACGTAAATGAACAACAACAACACTGACTTTGAACGTGGTCGTGTAATAGGGCTGTGAGAAAGTGGATTTTTTCCCGCGATATTTGCAAAAATGTTGAGGAGATATATATTCACTGTATATGATTTTTAAATCTTATTTTTTAGCCGTCGTTGAACAGTCGACTCAATGTTTGGGTTTACGACTACCAATGTTCAGCTGCGTAGTCTTGTTATTTTGAACCTAATCCAGAAGACAAGAGAACTCCTTGATCATGTATTGGGAAAAATTTACCTTCGGAGAGGATTTTTTGATTTAACTAACCCACGCCTGCGTTACATGGAGAAAAAAAGGCACGAAAACCTCCCACGGTTAGCCTGACTACAAGAGGACGTCAGCTCATGATCCTTTGAGGATATTTTGCGTCAGCACTATGGTACGAGCCGGTGAGAAAATCGTATCGACCAGCCATTGCTGGGATTCGAGCCCGGTTCACCTCACTGGAAGGCGGACTCAGTCCCCACGGCTCCACTTTGCATGATTGTTGGCAGCAGTGATCAAGGGAACAAGGAAAGGTACTGCTTCAAGAGGATCGAATTCTGGTAGGCCACCTGGCACTACTCAGAAGGAAGACTAATGTATACAGAGTATGACTGCGGCACATCGTACTGCTTCTGCTTCAGAAATTCGAGCTGCAGTTTGCACTGCAGTCACACAGTGAATTGGGCTGCAAATGGGCTACTTCAAGTTCAGCTCCGAGCAAGACGCTCTGTAGCTTGCATTCCACTCACTCCAAACCCCTGCCGTTTACGACGAGAGTGGGGTCGAGTTAAAGCTCACTGGAGGTCAAAGTGGAGATCTATTGTGTTTTCTAATGAAAGTTGGTTTTCCTTCGTATCTGTGATAGCAGTATATTGATTAGAAGGAGGCCTGGTGAGCGCCTTCTATAGATCTGTCCTCGGCCTCGTCACACTGGTCTTTCACCTGGAGTTAGGGTATGGGCAACAATTTCCTATGACAGCAGAAGCCCTCTCGTGGTTATTCCGCGCACCTTGTCTGCAAATTTGTATTCTGGTGCCACAGGCAAATACTCTGTCTCATTGTTGATTTCTTTAAAAAATCCACACAATCGGAATTTTTTTTTATTGTTAACGCTTCATCTTTTGATTTTTCTGATGTCATAAGTTACGGCATATTAGATTTATTCATATTTCTTCGGTAACAACATTTTCTTCAAACAAAGTTAAAAATTTTTTTTATTATTTTGAAATTTTTCTCCTTTTTCTTTTGCGAAGCTTTGCCCTAGATATTTACTTTTTATTCATCTTGAATGCAAAACTCGAAAAAATATAAAAATGAAATCATTGAAAAACTTAATGATGTGATTTCTAGCGGTTAAAGTGTATGGACAAATGGAAGAATCTTTCAAATACATCTCCGTTGGTTTGACCGACTCGAACATTCGAAGCAAACGTCAGTTTGGCGGTAATAACAAATTTATCACAGTTATCGTTTACATCTTCGCAAAATGAAATAAATCAGTCCGTATATTGCGCTACTGGAGGAGTACTGTGGTCAAACAAAAGAAGGTGGGTGAGATATTAATTATTTATCATGTGATGTATTAATGAATATTTCATTCAGAAAGTATAGGAAAAACAGTGAATTAAAAGAAAACTATTAATCAGAAGAAAAACTTTTTTATTTTAATTCATAGTGTTAATATTTTTCTTGGAGCGCGAGCCCTCCTTCATCGTCTATGCACCTCCTCGCCAGGGTGGCGTGGGGTTGTTATTGCTGGTGGATACAAGTGTTCTGTATAAACGTAAGTGTCTGTCTGACATCGTCAACAATATATAACGATGACTCATCCATTTCTTTTATAATTTCAGAATCATTTATACAGGGTGCCCGACGGAGGAGTGATTGATTTTAAAATTTCGGATTATCGTATGCTTAGTGTGAAAGCTATAGAAATTTTATACATAAATTTTACAATTTAATTGCAAGGGTGACAGATGGTGCCATTGATTACGAGCGTTATCAGTTTTTAGCATTAAAACGAGAAATAAGTTTATCGTTAAGTGGTTTAAGCCGTGCATTTTGTTGAACCACGCCTGCTTTTGGCACTGGAATATCACAGATTGGATTGCTGCTCTATGGCATTTGTATTCTTTGCAAGAACTTTGTGAAGGTTGCAACGTCATCTGTTGACAACTTTTGTAATTACATTCCAAAATTTCTATTCACAATTTTCACTGCTTTCATAATAGACTTATTAGTAATGGACAGAGGATTCAAAATACCTGTATATGTATGTTACTGAAGAAAAGCCAAGTTCAGTGCCGGATTCTAAAGATCACGCAGCATTTTCCATTAGTCCATTAGAGAGGGATGCTTGATAAATGAATTTATCACGTATGTGTGTTTGATATTGTTATACATTAAATTGTAGACTTTTTTTTCTTTTTCAGTTACTTAAAAGATAAAATATTAGTGACGCTACTTAGCCTACAGTTCTTTTTAATCTAAAGCTCATTTTATTGCATGTTCTTCAATAAATGTTTCTCTATTATATCATGTAAACTCACGCAAAGGAAAAGTGAAAGATGTCTCTCATCGTTTTTGTACACCGTTATAACTATAGGTTCATTGTCTTGCTACTTGTGCTTATTTCAACCTCTAATTAACCTAAATTAGCTAAATGTTTGACAACAATTATCCTTAAATAAGAGTATAAGCAGCTTCTTTGCCGATTTTATTTGATTGGGTGACCGAGCTTGCCACATTATGCATACATAAAGATTTTAATTTCAGATTTGAGAAAAGTTTACATTCCGAAGAGATACATAGTTGTCATCCTAGGCTGTCTGGGTATTCTAAATGTATTTGCCATGAGAGTCAATCTTAGCGTGGCTATAGTGGCTATGGTAAATCATACAGCAATAAATGAAAAGGCCATTAACGCAGAATGTCCTAACCTCATTCAAGATCGACAATCTTCCAATGAAGTCATGAATTATAAAGTAAGAGATTTCCCATTTTAATAAATGTAATTCTCTGTATTGACGTCACTGTTATATTTATTCTCTTTAATTTATAGTAAATTTATTGCTGACAGAATTACTAAAAACAAAATCTTTTGAAGGGTGAAAAATACAACTGGAATTCTAAAACCCAAGGGTGGATTCTAGGCTCTTACTATTATGGATATGTAACGACTCAAATACCTGGAGGAGTATTGGCTGAAAAGATTGGGGCCAAATGGGTATTCGGAGGTGGTGTACTGGCGACATCAGTCTTTTCACTGTTATCTCCTTTAGCTGCAAGCTTAGGAACAACTGCATTTATTTGTGTCAGAGTGCTTCAAGGATTAGCTGATGTAAGTTTTCAGCTCAGTCAATCTACTAAGCATGAAACAGAAAAATAAATCTAAAAAAAATTGATTCAAAACAAATCTGAAAAAAATATTGCTAAAGTTAAATCAATAAAATAGATCGTTTGAATAAGCACTTTAAATAAAAGAATCAAAAAATTCTTCAAGTGCTCATAATAAGCTATTAGTGTTTTATGTTAATTCAAAATTGAGTAGATAAGTTGTAGGCAGGCGAACTAGCTCCATTTTTTCCTTTCTCTCAGGTAAGTGGCGCATCACTTGGACAACAACTTCACTATACGGGAAGAACCTTCATAACAGGAGAGCAATTGCTTAACTCTGTGCTTAAGTTTTGTTGCTCTTAGATGCTTAAGTACACATCGTGTATAGTACATAAAATGAAAAAGTGAACACCTTAATAACTTTTGAATTGTATTTTAACGAAATAAAATGTGATCCTAATGATTTGAGAAACTAACATTAAATGTTTTAAAATATTCTTGGAAACGATATTTCAAGTTACGAAATCAGACCAAAAAAAAAAAAAAACATGCTCTCGTCCAATCCTTTTATACCAATCACTATTCTTTAAGTAACATAGAGTTGAAATGCATTTCTTTATATAGAATGTATTTTCTACTGTCACAGTTTCTAAGGTTATGCATAACTAAAACATGTAATTTGCGACTTGAGTAAAATCCGCTAAACACAGATACGTTCAGTGCTGAAATCCGACGGGAAAGCCCTCAAATGAAATTCGGTATGCTGCTATTTACACTAATAACTTATTACTAATACGCATTAGTATATATTCATTGAAATGCGTACCTTTATGGTTTACCAATATCATGAGTAGATTTTGAGGGGCAAAGAATAAGAAAAAAGCCTTAATTCGAAAATGTTTGAATAAAACGCAAACAGTATTACCACATGTAAATTGACGCAATTTCTCAAAATTTCTAAAGACTATAGGAGTTGTAAAAAGAGACCTAGGGGGAAATTACCATCTAATATTAGCAGTAATATCAAAACAGTAAAAGAGATCTTCAAAGAGAAAAAAAGGAGAAGTTGATGATTTTGGAACGTCTGTCTCCTCAGTACATCTTGATTCGGTACAAAACCTTCAGTTTTGATCCCCAAAACTTCAAGAAAAAATGTTCTATAAAAAAATGAGTCTAAGCACATGTTTTACATAAATAACATAGCCTGGAAATTTCAGCAAAATTAAAATATACCTTGCTAGTTTTGTTCTATTTTTTTTAAAAAAACTGACGCTTAAACAATGTTTATACTTTCTATTACAAGCTACCACTTTTAGTATGAAAAAATTGAAACAGATTGAGTTTTGATCAATATAAAGTTATTAATATAAATAATACATTATGGTGGATTTTAAGAATAAAAGAATTAGAAGTTTGAAAAATAAATGCTAAGAATAAAACACTTAAGTAATTATTCTATCTTTCTTTTTCTCTTTTTGTTTAAAAAAATGTGGAATCTTTGGTATATAATGGGTAAAGGTTCAGTGAAAATTTAAAATATGCATTATGTGGTGAATTTTCGTAATTCTTTTAAAATTTCATTTTGCAGGGTGTTACTTCGCCATCGATTAATGTTGCCATAAGCAAATGGGCACCAAAAATGGAAAGAAGCAGAGTATCAACTATTATTTTTACAGGGATTATGATTGGTGATGTGTTGGCCTTGACCTTATCTGGATTGCTTTGTAGTTCAGATAAGTTGGGTGGGTGGCCTTCTGTTTTCTACCTTTTTGGTGAGTACAATTCTATTCAAAAAATTAGTTCTGCAAAGAAGCGTAATTAATTAACCATCAAAATTTTCATACTCTCTCCTGTACTTTTTTCAAAAAGAAAAAAATTATATCTTTTCAAATTATTTTCGTAAAATTAAGCAATTTTTGTTTACCAAAAGATATAAATAAAATAAATAGTTACATTTTGATCTGAAATTATGCATCATCATCGGGTTTCTTTTCCATCTAATTTAAGAGGTAACCATGTTAGATATTATCAACTTACAACACATTTCTTTCAAAAAGATATTTTTCGTATTACGACAAAGTAATAGGCAAACGAAAGTTTGTAATTAAGGAATGTAATAAAACTTCATAGACACACTGCATAAGTGAAATTTTCTGTTTTTGTTCTCTTCGGATCATGCTAATGAACTAGAAACTATTTTAAGATTGATTTAAAGAGTTAATGTATTTATGAAACAGTTTAACACTATACACAATGCAAGCAACTCTGGTTGAATTATCTACTCACTTTATATATTCTATTTTGAGTTTCATTCTGTATTACTCTTATTTTCCATTTTTTACTTGATTGTTTTATTTTGCATTTCTTGTCTTATTTTACATTTTTTGCTTAATAAGTTCTGTTTGCGTTTCAATTTTTTTGGTGTTCCTTACACTATTATATTGATACATTTTGCATTGGCTATATTAATACAATATCAGAAATAACTCTTTCGGATTTATTCGTATGTTTTAGTTTTTTTTATGTGACGAGATTATATCTCTTCCTTATTTTGTTTTCCTGCTTTTGTCTATATATATATATATATTTTATTTTAAATATTTTTTAAGCTTTAGATTTTTGAATAAAAAAAATTTATTGCCCTTTAAACAATCTTCATTTTTTCCCATGTTTTCTTTATTTTTTTATTACAGTGAATTTATTGCGGGTATTTGCAATACCTTTAAAACTACTTCCATTAGTATTTTTCTTTTACTCGCCAGGTGGAGCTGGCGTCATTTGGTGCATATTTTGGTTTTCTTTAATGCATGAAACACCTGGAGTGCATCCAACAATCTCTAAACAAGAACAGATCTACATAGAACAAAACCAAGAAGACCAATCTAATAAGGTTCGAGACATTATGAAATAGTATAAATTTTCATATAGATGAGCCAAATTCAATTGATCTTACAGATTCAGTCACATTACTTAATCAGACATGCGTGAACGACACCTGTAACATACTAGAACATCGTCAGTTTAAAATAATGTGCACAGCGAAGAACATAAAGCAGTCGTTAAAATATTTTTCAAGTACAGAAGTTTCGTAGTTTGGGATTTGCATATTTTTTTCTGTCAAGAGGAGGGTTATGAACGATAACGATAAAATTCCCCTATTTTCAATTTTTTTTAAATGCAAAAAAATAAATCTATAGGAAATTAAAAAAATTGCACTTGGAGAGATAAAATTTAAAATAGAAATAAAAATTTAATTAGGAGAGAGAGAAGCAGAGACATTTTCAAAATTTCATGAAATAATTCAAACTATTTTGTTTTATGCTGAGTTACATATTTATTTGAATTTAATACTAAAAGTCTTAAAATTCTATAACAACAGCAAAACCAAAGTTAAAGCAAATGGGTGTTTTTAGGCTTTTTTTCATAGACAGGAAAAGGAGTTGTGATTTGTCTTTTTTATTATAAAAGGAAGCCCAAAATGGTCAAAAACAAGCTAACGGCCTTAAAAAAAGAACTTTACTATTGAAGTGTTGTTTTATCACCTTAATACAAGATAAGCTTATTCAGAAGGTTAGCAAATATTTAATGTGGCGTAACTACCCCTATAAATATAAAATATCGAATCACTAGTATATAAGACATGTTAACTTGATTCCATCCTGACGTTACCTTTTAATAGATGAAGGTTGACATAGTCTATATTTAAATCCCCTCAATGGATTATCCATCAATATTGGCAAGTTCTTATCACGTCTGCGGGTCACCATTGAGGAGATTTAATTATAGACTATGTCAACCTTCATCTATCAAAGGGTATCTCAAGATGGAATCAAATTAACATGTCTTACATACTAGTGATTCGATATTTTATATTTATAGTGATAGTTATGCCACAGTACTCCCCTTCCAGAATTTTATCTGTGATAGAATTCGATGAACGGATACCACTAGTTGATTCATGCTGCTTATTTATTTATATCAATTTTGCTCCTTATATTTTTTCCCTTCATTATTTTTAATGGCAATTCGCTCATTTTTTTTCTTCATTTTTGTTTATAGCATTTCGCTCATTATTTTTTCTTTCCTCATTATTGTTTTATGACCGGGAGACTTTATTTACTTCACCGGATTTTCTTTTTCTCTGATCAGTATATTTTTAAGCAAATCAACTATTTAATGTGGATCCTCTATCGGCATGTTCTTATCACGTCCGCAGATCACCATGGAGGGGAATTATAAATCGTCAGCCTTCATCTATCAAAAGGTACCTCAAGATAGAATCAAGTTAACATAGTCGATAATTAAATTCCCCACAATGGTGACCCGTTCTGTACGTAAGGATTTGGAAATTCCAGATTTTACAACCGGTGAGCTTGATTAAACCTTCTCTGTAGTAGGAATCAAATATGCTGGATTTACACGGTCTATGGACAAAGTAGATTGCCTACCATTTAGATAAATTGTAAGGTTTTTAGCTGACAGTTCCAAAACCTTATGTGGACCCGAATAGGGTTGACATAAGGGAGGTTTTACAAAATTCACTCACGTGAGAACAAGTGCTTAGTGAGGGATTTACGTAAAATGTAGTTCACCCATGCACCGATGTTGCAATTGGATTCAATTCCCGCATGGTGTTTCTAAGACGATCAACAAAAATGTCATCACATGGTGGAATAATGGATGTTTCTAGCATGTCACTTGGACGTTGAAGAGTTGTTCCGTATGCCAGTTCGGCACACGATGCGTTGATATCCTCCTTTACTGCAGTACGAATTCCTAAAAGGACTACTGGAAGTATTTCTGTCCACAGTGAGTTTTCATGCGCTTTTATTGATGATTTTAAGTGGCGGTGAAATCTTTCCAGTATGCCATTTGAAATGGAATGGTATGCTGTCGTATGAATTCGGTTTTCACCCAACATTACGGAAAAATCACAATATAAAGATAATCGCTTCTGAGAGCCTTTATCTGTTGTAATTATCGAAGGGCACTCGAATCGAGATATCCAAGTGTGGAAAATTTCTCGACAGATGGTTTTGGCTTGCATGTCCACAATCGGTATGGCTTCTGGCCATCTTGAAAATCTATCAATCATAGTTAATAAGAAGCTGTAACCATCAGATGAAGGTAATGGGCCTACGATGTCGATGTGTATTTGTTGAAATCGAGCACCAGGTAAACTGAATGTTCCTAGAGGAGCTTTGGTGTGTCTTTGAAATTTAGAACGCTGACAAGGTTCACTTATGGTTTTGAAACGGTCAGCTAAAAACCTTACAATTCAACTAAATGGTAGGCAATCTACTGTGTCCATAAACCGTGCAAAGCCAGCATATTTGATTCCTACTACAGAGAAGGTTGAATCAAACTTACGGGTTGTAAAACCTGGAATTTCCAAACCCTTACGTACAGAAAAAGATCATTCTCCTAAGGATCCTGACAAAATTGTGACTAGGTCTGGAAGACATGTACACTTTCCAGCAAAACTGGCAGCTTATGCTTATTATTAACATTATGAACTAAACAAGGCTGTTTAGTATAAAATATTATTTATCAATAATTTAAATAGTGTAATATTCAAAATTTTACTTGAAATATTATGTCGTTTCAGAGAGTATAATTCTGTGTCACTGGGGGGATACTCTGTAGTATTATTCTTAGTCGATAAGGAATCGATTAAGCAGGATGATTATAAATTGTTTCCTATGTATTGGATGACAATAGTCTGGTTGAAAAATAGAACAGCTATGGTGAATAAATATTTGTAGTGGTAGTTACGCCACACTATCATATAAATTCTTAATATAAATGAGAAAAACATCACCACAAAATTTATCATTTTAGTCATATAGGATAAACCAACCAGTGAAGGAACGCCACCCAGTGAAGGAACATTTCATATATATTGATTAAAAATAAGAATTTGAACGTTTTTCTTTAGATTGATTGGTAACAATGGCTTACTGCCAAACAATAGGAAGTCATCTAGCAATGTTTTGGATTACCTGGTCAAATAGACTTCTCTGAAAAAATTTTTGAATTTGTTATTATCTCTGCAACACCTTGTTTCGTTGAAAAAATTATAAGGTGAGTATTTGCATTTATATGCTTGAAGTGGAATTAATTGCATATAATAGTTTTATTTTTCTCACTGTGAAAATAAGAATTCAAAATATAGTTATTGAAGTTACGTTTTATTTTTTTAAAGCACCATAGCATAATCAAGCACTGAGATAAAGGGGTGTTTATTCACTGGATCACCAAACGATGAAAAACCAGTGAAGGAACAAGTGTTCCTTTACTGGGTCTTTTTCCCAGTTAATGAAAATAAAAGAAATTTTTTAATTTTCTTGTACTTTTAGGCATATTATACATCAAAATTCTGTTTAAAAGACAAAAAATAACTTCTAACCAGTGAGGAAACAGGCATGTTCCTACACTGGGAATACTTCCAGTGAATGAGCAGTAATGTGTGAAATATGATTTTACATGACTCTAGGATGAGTAATTCTGCTATATAGAGGACAACCGAAATTTTGTTAAAAATTATATGAGTAATTCCTGAAATAATTTCAGTTCAAAATGTTGATTTAATAGCTTATTTTATGAGAAAATTATAATTTATATTTATTAATGGGGTGTGTAGTTGCATCAAATGTTAGGTAACTTAATAAATTATGCTTACAAATCGAAAACTAGTTAAATATAATCATAAAAATTTGAATAGAACATTTTTTCGCTGTCTTTTGCACCAAGAACTCCTAATAAGTTATCATTATAGGATAGCTACGTGATTATATAATTTATAAAAACTACTTTACTATGTTAGAATTTAGAAGCAAGCTCATCAACAAAAAACAGAGTTAAGCAGAAACGATGCTCAATTTCTTCAGAAGCTTGAGAGAGAAATCCTTCAAGATAAGTAGCAAATTTTTAACGCAGCATTGACTGAAGAGTCTAATATCGGAAATGTCCAAGAGCCTGTACTTTATTCAAAATGGAAGAAGTACGTATTAAAAGAAGACCACTTGGTTAAGTCAAACTTAGGAACTGAAGCTAGAATTGATAATGAATGCATCTTAGATATCGAATTTGAAATGAGTCCTCATGCTGATCCTCTCTTAGTTGAAAAAAGAAATGATTCTCTAAGTAAAATCAGGACTTCTAAAGATCCTCTAGATATAAGTCAACAAGAGATGGATTTTCCTCAAACTTCAAGATATTTTCTATTTTCCCGTCTATTTTCGAGAAAGGTATTCTTGAAATGTTGCTGAAAAATCAGAAGAAGTTTGGGAGAACCATTTACATTGGCCAAATATTGATAATAAAAAGAAAGGTCAAATAAGAAGAAAAACGAATAAATTACCTTTTGCACTAACTTCAGAGAAATGGCAAAAATTTCAAGAAGCTGAAAGATCCAAAGAAAAGTTAAAACAAGAGAATATGGAGAATAAAAGGAAAGAAAAAATACTTAAAAAAGAAAAAAAAGCTTCAAGAAATAAGAGGAAAAGGAGTAAACGAAAAGGTGATAAAATAATAATGATAATAAACAGCATCGGATGACACAATGATTTAGATTTGACTGTCAAATTATAAGAACGATTTTTTTAAATTTATTTTGTATTTAACATCACTTTAATTTCAGTTCACGATTACAGAAAAAAGTTAGCATTTTACAAGTACTTGTATGTTGCAATTTCATAAATAGTCTTGTTTTTATATATTTGTATGGCTAATAAATTCATAAACAGCATTGAAAAATAACCAAAATTAAGTGTTTCTTTACTGGGCAATTTTGTGTTCCTTCACTGGTAAGAGCTGTTCCTTCACTTGGTCTTCTTACTACTTGTTATTTGAATCTCCAAAACTTTAAAACAATATTATGTAAGTTCTCTAAATTTCTTTTACATAATTTGCAATAAGTAACAAATATGTTGACACTGTCATTTAACTAAAATTACGAATTTTGAAATTAATATGATTTTTTAAAAGGCAAGTGTGGGAACGAGGAATAGCGTTCCTACATTTTTACGGAACCAAAGACAACATTAACACAATCAGAAGGTAAAAATAAACACTTTTATTTTCCGGGAAAATGATAGAGTCACAAAAGCTGCGTGACTAACTTAAAAACAAATTAAAATTCAAAATAGAGTATAACAGAGTAGTAGTAGTTTTGTGGTTTAACAGATGCATATATATACTGGAGAAAATGTGCGATGAATAATTACGACATCAGTATCCTGCCGTCAGTTGCAGTTAGTTTCTGACAGCAGAAAGAATATCAGGATGAGATGTCGCAGGTTCGGTATTCCGATCCGCAGGTCTGATCTAGCGAATTCTACACAAGCTTAGCTTAAGTGCTCCTTCACACAAGTTTACCCAAGTAACATAATAACAATCCAGTTTAGAAATCCAGATTTCAAACATTGCTACTAATTTTTGATAAGAACCAAGTTCTCGCAGTAAAAAAATTTACTTATATATATATATGATCNTATATATATATATATATAAGTTCAAAATGAAGATAAAACAAAGGAAAATTATAGACTTATGAATTAGGGGGGGGGGAAATAATAATGAAAAAATAATGACAGACAACTGATTTAAATGAAACAGTATAAAACAAACAGTATAAAAATGAAAAAACAGTACAAAAATTGTATAAAACAAAATCTGAAAAAACAGTATAAAACAAAATCTCTAAAGCGAGTAGCGAAATCAGATGTACTTGCATGAACGGGAAATTTTTCAAGAATGATTTAAAACTATTTTCGCAACCTGATTGCCAGATTACAAAATATGAAAACAAAACCTTCATTTCTTTTGATTTTATTTCATTTTCTGTTTTTACGTGTTATTTTTACTTATTGTGTTTTATTTTATTTGTTTTAATTTTTGTAAAAAAGCTTTTTTGAGTGCTCCTCACACTATTGTATTAATATATTTTGTTTTGGCTAAATTGATACAATATCAGAAAGCACTCTTTTTTGCGGATATAATCGTGTGGGCTGATAAAAAGATTATATATTTTATTTTCCGGTTTTTTTAAAAAAATTTCATTTTTTTTCTTCTTTTTTTTTTTGAAATCAGTTGTCTGTCATTTTATTTAGCAGTTGTCAGCATTAATTTTTGCATGCAACTCGAGTTATCTTTCTTTTCTTTTTTATCCTTTTGTACGGATTGTTCACTTTCTATATATCCTGACACAAGTTATTGATACTTTTTAGTCTTTGATGTTCCAGCTTTATTTTTAGTTATAGCCGGATTATTTAAACAGGATTGCCCCCACTGATATGCTTTTCGTATGCCTATTTTTTCACAAAATTCACAAGGTTTGGGCGACAAATCTCGCACCACATGTGTCGTCTGATTCTCATTATTTTTATAATCACTTAAATGCAGTTTAACCTCCTTTTGCTCCAGTAATTTAGAAGAATTGTAACGTACGTAATTATTATGTATTTTATTTTTTCTCTATCCGTGCAAATTTGGTCATATATCCTTAGTTTATTTTTGAAATCATTTAAATTAGTTGACCCATATAATATAGCTTTATTATCTACTGTATCGGGTATGCCATTATTATAATATTTCATTAAAGATTGTTCATCAACATTATTTTGAATTGCAATTTCTTTTAATTTTAAAAAAATATTCTTGCACTGATTCATGCGTGCGTTTTTTCCTATTTCTTAAAACTTCATGAATTTCGGCTGAGTTATAGGTAACAAGAAATTCTTCGATTAATAATTCTTTCAAATTTATGTAAAGGAGGAAAATAAAAAAACTCGTTTATGTGTAGATTTTAGAAAATTAAATCAGGTAACGAAGTCGGACGCTGAACCGTTACCTCTCATGGAATCTCTAATTGATAAATTAGCATTTGCAACACCCAATGGGTTGCATGAATGGTTGCTTTTACCTTTTGGCTGGAAAAATGCCAAGCATTTTTCAAGGAACTATTCGTAGAATCCTTACTAAACATAAAATTAAATTCGCTGCAAATTATTTTGACTATATGATTATTTTTTCAAACAGCTATTCTGAACATTTAGATCATATTAAACAAATTTTTGATGTATGTCGACAAGAAAATATTAAATTAAAATTTTCTAAATGTTCCTTTTTAAAACAAAAAATTGACTTTTTGGGGTATGAAGTAACAAACGGCACTGTTACATCAAATAATAGTAATATTGAAGTTATTAAAAAATTAAAACCTACGACAAATCTTTGCAAAGATTTCTGGGGTCCATTAATGTTTATAACAAATTTATAGATAAATATGCATCTATTCGAGCTCCACTAAATAATTTGTTAAAAAAGGATACTATCATTTTTATTTGATTCTTAATTGTAAAATTCATTTTGACAACCCTTTCTAGGTGCCCTAATTTGTATGGCAATGAATGTATCTCTCTCCAGTCTCTGTATTTTAGAAACTATTGTTCATTTTTTTACTCTTAGAACGTACATTAACAGGCCAGAACTTTCATCCATTCATTCTACCCTAAAAATATTATTTAAAAAGAAACAGTTTCTTAAGCTGGAAGCAACAAACTATGGCTGCAAATGTTAGTTAGCTTTTTATGAATTGTTTTAGTAAATATACAGTCCCTGGCCATACTATTAGACACGCTGAAAGATTTTATGTAAAATTATAATTATCAGGTGATACTCCATACGGCTGTATAATTTTCACTCGGATAAAAACAGTCTGCATTTGTTTATGATACTGTATCAATTGGTTAACACATTGTAATCCAATGCGATAAAAATAAATACGAGCAGGAAGTATATAAGTATATAAAAAATCTTCTGAATCGAAACCCATAACGTGTATGTTTAAATATAAAAGTATTGCACATAAACTCGTGCAAATCATGTAATTATTTAAAAAATACAGTGCGTCTAATAATTTTATAATGTTTGATATAATAAATATTCCATATTTATATAATATATCGTCTAATTTGTCCTATCGTCAAATTTATATTATATATCGTCTAATTTTAGCAATGGATACACTAACGTAAACTAGTGCAAACCGGTTTCAGATAGGTAAAAACAATGAGGCTTTATAGTATCCCCTGATAATAAAGATTTTACATGAAATCTTACAGTACGTCTAATAATTTGACCAGTTACTGTATACACGCTTTAACACTAACAGTTTACTTCTTTTGAACTAAAGATAGCAAAAAGGAGTTTTCACTACTTGTTCTTTAAATATTTCACACATATTTCAAACATTTTCGTAATATTGATAACTCTGATTTTAAAATGTATAAAATCATTTTCTTTATCATAAAAAAATATCTAAATGATGCCTTATGATGAATGAATCTTTTTTAGAAACTTCCTATACCTTGGAGAGAAATATTGACATCCTCTTCTGTATGGGCATTTGCTTTTGCTATGTTTGGACACAATTTCGGATATTTAATGCTTCTAGCTGAGTTACCAACATATCTCAGCACAATTCTTCATTATGATCTGGCCTCGGTATGCATTGTTCGTTATTTGATCGATTAGATGCATGTATTATGTTACCAACAAGTAGTATTAATTATATTTTTCTACATCATTATTTCAATTACTATAAAAGATAATATGATTTCCCATCTGTTGCTATTTAATGAAAGCTTGTAAAATTGCTCTCCTATATTTTAAGTTAATACTTAAAAAGAAATTTTACATACTCTAATCAAATTTACGCTATAAATCACTAAAATTGTCTTCAATACTTAATAAATAGTAGGTAACAGAGTGGGAAGACTGTCAGTACTTGTATTGCAAAGTATTGAATTTTAGTTAAACAAGCATTGATATTTTTCTTTATTTATTTAAATGAACTAAATATAATGAAATGAAATAATTTAAAAATGGAGGAATTTTCTCTCATACAGCAATTTATTATTAACTAAAACAAGAATATTCAAAAGTAATTTTTTTAAATTTATTTCTTATTTCTATAATTAATAGTAAAGAAGAAAAGTTGTCAATATCATAGTTACAAAACAAAAATAGATGAAAATAGTTATTGATTTAAAATAATCCACTTTTATAATGCTTCATTAATATCCACAATGCAAACACTCACTGTATGTATAGTTTAGGCTGAGGTTTTTTTGTGCACTTAAGAATTGACTATGCCGACCGGCCTGCGTAGGGGTTAGGGAACTGCCCTTGCATCAGAAAGGTTTTGGGTTCGAATCCATGGCAAGGCATGGATGTTCTTTCCTTCTCTGTGCTGTATGTCCTTACTGTGGGATCAACGTTGACCCGCCTAATATGGTATCCCTGCAAGAGTGGCCGACAAATCTGCCCTCTAGGTGTCTGTATGACCTAGATCATTATCCAGGTGGGCATTGGGAAAAAAAAAAAGAATTGACTATAACTAGGGTCGATCATTTTCGTGGATCTATCACTTTTTGTTTTTTGCTTTTTTTTCTAAGGTTATCAGTGAGTTACTTTCATATCATTGTTTTCAACACCAGATTTTATTTTTAATGCTCTTAAGTTAATATCAGAAAAAAATTGTGTCTGGTTATACCTGATCAATGAATTCGAAATAATAATATTTAAAAACAAATTATCATATGTCTATTCCTTGTGTTATTCTTTGTTCCACTCAGTTGTCATGATCATGGTAACAGATTGGAAAGGTAACACTGAGAGATAAGAACTGAAATTGAATTGACTTGTTTCCTAAAAAGGAGAAAAAATTTATACGAAGCTGGAAAGCATTATTTTGTTTTATCATTCAAAAAACTCATTTTAAAAAATTTTGTGATTGAAGATGAATAAAATATCCTATCTAAAAATAGAAAATCCATCGAATCCTAATGTTGCTTAAAACCTATTATTACTGACTTGTTAATGAATATAGTAATCATGATAACATAGTGCAATAAAGTCCGGGAAAAATATTAAACTGTCTCATTATCACTATAAAACTGTATTTAAAGATTATCTGAACTATAGGTTACACTTGAAATTATTATCACAAATGGACAAAGTAATATTATTTTCACTGGACTGTAATTTAACTGTAAAACCCATCAGGCACCTTTATGCCTAGTGACACAATTGTATTTGAACTATTGCATTTAATAATGAACGAGTAACGAAGCATAAAAGATTTTGTTAAAAAAAAGGATAATTAGTTTTATATTTATAGTTTATTCCTCGAAAAAGTCTAAAAATATGGATCGATGAGCAGGGATTATTTACTACTTGTAATAAACTATTTGAGTCATCTTTTAAAGGTATTGAAGATGACTTGTTTCTAAAGATTTTCCGTAATTATAGTGAAAATTATTTTCGAAGATCGTGTTCAAAGAGCGGGGGGAAGAAGGTCACAATTTTCTGCCTATTTTCATTATAAAATTTGAATGCTCAATGAATATTTTCATTCTCATAAAAATAAATAAAAGATTTCAAGGATTTTTTGTGACAGATTAATAGAATTTAAACCAATCTATGAAGAGGAAGCAGACAGTAGAAAGAGTAGTTGTTCCCATAGCGGGAGTTTTGGTACTTTAATGGGTAAAGAGAGAGGTAAGGAAAGATGAGCCATAGCCATTTGGTAGCGTCTGACATATTAAAGACGCATTACACAGGTATTATTTTTTTAATTTTTATTTTTATCCACATTTACTAAAGACATTTAGTAAATTTGAGTATTTAAAAATGGTATTTGGAATTTTATTTGAGTAATTAAAACTACTTAAGGTTATGGGACCCACATACACAAGTTTCTCTATATTTCAAAACAAAAGGAGAACATTATATTTCTCATTAGTTATGTATTTAAACCAAAATTCACATTGAGTGGAGTTATCATTAGATTATAGAGTGAATTCATATTAGAATGCACAGTGCATGAAAAACGGAAACATCCTGAAGAAATTTTGATCTAATTATTTGGTCTTAACGCTCTAGGACTCAAACTTAATATTTCGAGGGGTTGACCTGGAATATGTTAATTAATTAGTGCAAACGATATTTTAAGTTAAGAAATCAGACATAAAATCGTCTTTCTATGAATTAATCTACATTTCTTTCAACGGATTCGGATTTCTGATCCTTATGACATAGGGCGTAGCAGCAATTTGGGAAAAAGAATCCCCATAGATTGGTCAGGAGAGCGATTCAAAGTTTGGACCCCTTAATGTTAATTTCTTTTTTGCCTACTTTGCCATATCTCGATATTTTTTGCTTTTCTTTTTGCGCATAATTATAAAATTCATCGACTCAAAGATAATTCCGTGTAAAAAATTAATTATAGTAAATATTTATTATTTTTTATTATTTTGTTTAATAATAGTCGAAAAAAGTTTGAATTGTAAGGTATACAATTTTTACGTCATTTTAAAGTATGTGATTTGACATGGAAAAATGCAAAATTTTAATGAAATCGTTTAAATAGTTCCTAAGAATTCGAATTTTAGATATTCGACGTTTTCGAAATTCGATTTTTCAGGAACTATTCGACCAATTTAACTCAAATTTCATGTTTCGGTGTGATATATTATGTTTTTCCCAATGATATAAATATTCTGTACCTTACAATTAAAAAAATGTTCTGCTATTATTAAATAAAATAATAAAAAAATAATAAATTAAAAAAAAATAATAAACTTTTGATAAACGAATTTTATAATTGTATGCAAAAACTTTTCAGTTTGCCTAAAAAGCTTACGAAAATACACAAAAACTAAAATTAACGTTAAGGTGAACAAATTTCGATCGCTTTCATGACCAAACTATGTAGACCCTATTTCCCATACTGCTGCTACCCCCTATCTTTTAGGGGTCAAAAATTAGAATCCATTGAAAAAATGTTATGTAATTAAAAGTATCGTCTGCACTTATTAATTCGCATATTTAGGGTCACCCACTTAAACCATTAAGATTGTCCTAGAACGTGAAGAAAACGATCATTAGATCAAAAATTATTTAAAGTGGTCGGGTTTTTTTTTGGAGCACTGCACTTGGAGAATTGAAAAAATCTTCATTAGTAACAGACTTATGAAGCAAATAGTAATTTGCGTTTACCTATTGGTCATTGTATTGACTATTACATTATATTATTAAAAAAACATTGAAAAAAAGATAAAAAACAATAAAAAAAGTTAGCAACTAAGTTAGCACCACCGTGTCAGCAATAAAAGTAATATTTTAGAGGTACAACTACACTTTTCTACTCAGTTAAACAATACTATAAAATTAGAAACGTAACGCTTTTGACAATTTTTGGGCGTAGTTGAATATTACAACTCTGCGCCAACCGCGGTACCCTATAAATTGCTTCGTTCGCTCATTGGATGATAGGGTATTTTAGTCAACTTTTGTGTTCATGCTGACACTTTTTTTAAAAAAGAAGTTCTTTCAATGTCAAATCCTTAATTTATTCATTCAGTTTATACGTTTTACGATTTTATACATACAATATTGTTTTGGTGTTTGGTGGTACAATACATACCATTTTTTACATAAATTGAAACTACTAACTATAAAATGAAAAAAAAAAACATAACTGCCTGGTCTTCATGGATGAAATGTAGATATACAGCATCATTAAAACTAAAATGTAGCTTAGTTGCAAACGTACACATATTATTAAACCTGAATAACATTATTAAAACAATAATTTGCTTGTACATTGAAGAATTTTTTAAATTTTAATCATTATTAGGAAAAGGAATTGTTAGCAAATTATTACAAAAGCAGAGAAAAACAATTTTCTTACGTGAAAAGTTCTAAATTAATATTGAATGCGCGTAAATCGATGAAGATCTCTTCGTTGATTGTTCGCTTAAAGCGGGCTCAGGCATATTTAATATTATTTCCCTTTTCAAGCTTACGACAGCTCACTTGCTTCTGACGTAATTGAAAAACTGTTATTCGTTTTAAAATAAAGCTCTAAAAATTAAGAGTGCCAATATATGGATTGATGGCTTTTTACTTTTCATTACTATCTGACTTATCAATTTGTTTCAGTTTTTCTTAGTCTATGCGTGAAAATTTTTTCATTCTGAAGTTATAAGCATGTACGTTTAGCGTTCCTGTTTATGACTGCTCACTCGCTTGGTATTTCTGTACTTCATTGCTTTCGTGAGAAATAAATTTCATATGTTTTTTAAAATCTACCTACTTATACTTACAACTATAACGGATGAGACACATTTCTAGAAATTTCTCAAGGAATCGATTACTTATGCAAAAACTGAAATCTGGCTGAAACATTTATAGACACTTTTAAAAAAAAAACTTTTTTTTTTGCCCTACATTTTTTTACTATACTTATAAATATATAATTAAACTAAACAAAATTTTTGTAGCAGTTTTTAAGCAATAAGAAATATCATTATTTTTTTTTCTAATGGCAGGTAGTACTGAACATTCGTTCTTCACCTCGGTAGATGCTCATTTAACGTTACCCAGTTTGCACCTGTGAACCATAGTAACGAAGGCGAGCGATACTACCAGAGCCACATTACCACAGATATAGCTCGTTCACCAGGAGTTGGCACTTGGCCCCGCCTACATCACGTGGTATGCGACGATTCTATTTCGCTATTTTTGGGAGAAGGTTGTGAGCAATCCTGAACAATGTTGCTATTTGGCGATCGTTTGGCAAAAATATTTATTTCGCTAACTTTATGTGCAGTTTTTAACAATAAATATTTCATAAATTTGATGGTATTTTGCTCCATTTTTTATGATATTTCTTTCTTTTGAGTGAATAGTTTGTCCTTTATGAGACATTTTGCTGGGAGAGCAGCAGTTTTTAAATTTAAACTATATTTAATTAGCTAGAGTAACAATAGGTATAATAGCAGATGATAAAGCGAAGTATGTGACTGAAAAAGAATTCACTGTTTGTGTTTGGCGCAAATTAAGGTTTGTCTCAATTTCAAGCACGAAGATGTTTCTCTTCTGACTCCCGCGCTGAAATGAACTCTGCGTCTGAGTAGGTGGAGCCAAGTGTCAACTCCTGGTGAACGAACTATACCCGTTCATAGGGGGGGGGCACATTCACACAATAGAGGGAGAGAAACATCCATCCCCAGAGCAGGATTCGAACCCACAGACATTGGCTTCGCACTCAGGCACGCTAACCGCTCTGCCACCTGGCCGGCAAAACTATCATTATAAAACTAGAAAACATTCATTAGAAATTGCCCAAGAAATGAGCATTTAAACTAATTTTTTCATATCACGCCTGCGAGGATAACATTTGAAAATTTTTTTTTTCATAATTTTGTCATGAATCGCATTTGGTAACTTATGAAAAAAGCTCATTAAATATCTTAAAGGCTTCTAGCAGTTTTCTAAGTAGTTTTATCTTAAATATTTAATCAAGCTTTGAATGTTTATCACTAAGTTCATTTTGGGTCAAAGTTTAATAGAAATACTCAGCACCTGACAACAAAATGTGACGATAAAAAGAAAGAAAACGTAAGTTATTTTAAAGTATTTTATTATATAAGTTATTTTAAATCTCGTCTTCTTTCATTATGAATTCACTTCAAATAGATTTATTAATTATTAATAAATTATTTTTCAAACAGTATGTAATTAATGAGACGCCTGGTGGCTGAGTGGTTCGCCCTCCCGTGCCACAGGCCCAGGTTCCATCCTCGGGCCGGGCAAGGTTAACTCAGCCTTTCATCCCTTCAGTGGATCGATAAATGAGTACCAAGCATGCTTGGGAACTAAACACTGGGGTTCTCGCTTTCAGCTGAGCACCTAACCGGAACGTCTGCTCCTGCACCCCAGAGCCCAAGGTCAAGAAAACTGAGATGGGTTGGGCCTCTATGAGCTGTCGTGCCACTGAGTTGAGTTTAGTTTTTTTATGTAATTAATAAAACTAGAAATTATATTTCATCCGTTCAAATTTGATTTAACTACATTATAAAGTATGAAATTACATGTATCACGCTAATTATAATTTGTATAATTTAAAAATGAGATTTTTTTTTTCTTCTTATCAAATTTATGCAACATGACAGCAAAAAGTTGAGATTTAACTTAAGAATTAAAAAATTGGTGAATACCTCGAAAATAATATGAAATTTCATATAAAATGCGAAATGAATCATAAGAACAAAAGTTATTTTTTGTACCTCGTAAAAAATGGACTAATCCGGATTTTGATCCAAATTCTTCAGGAATTTATTTCAGCCAATTTCTTTCAGAACGGATTTCTATCGGCTATACCTTTCATACTTCAATGTCTATCATCTTGGATCGCATCTGCTGCGGCAGATAGACTAAGGAAATCTGAAAAAATTTCCATCACATTCATCAGAAAGTTATTCAACAGTATTGGTAAAAAATTAATTATTATATTTATTATTAACATAAAAAATACGCGTTTCTTTTTATTTCAAATTACAAATAAAAATATAATCAATGTTCGATTTAAAGTCGTTCAAAAGGAAAACACGGAAGTCATTAGTTGAGGTCGCGTTATGTCGTGATTGCACTAAATAATCATAATATTTACTGAGAATTAAAAATTACCAGACCATTTTGAAGAAGACAAAGCTCTTTATATGAAGAGAAAACCAATAGAATAATTTATAATAAAGCATTTTTTAAAATTTAATATACTTAAAAGTATCATTTATAAAAACACTTTAAAGATAAAAAATTCATTCACAATAATAATCTGTCAGTATAAAAAAATTTAGAAAAATGAAATTAAATTACATAATAATACGGGGAACTAAATGCATACCCTCCAACTTATGAGGATTTTGAAAATAATTCTTTCTAGTGGTAGCGAACTAAAGTAGAAATTTTTAAAGCAAATGGATCTCTCATAAAACTTTTATCAGAACTTAAGAATCTAGCCATATGGCCTGCACTTTTATAAGTAATAGTGGACAAGTTATGCTAAAATTATTTTTTTTTTAAATATTAAGACATTAATTTTGCTACCGTCTGAAAAGAAGATTTCTGAAACTACGGAAATTCCGTAGCAGTTGGAGGGTATGTAAATGTGACATGCGTGAAATTAAAAACATACGAAAAAAAAGTGCTGCAAAAATTTAAATACAATTCCAAAATGAGAAGCGAAAAAAAGACACCCACCGATTTAAAATCACTGACAATTCAGCACAGGAGTTACTCAAACTCTCGAATGTGCTAGTTTTAAGGAATTTTAGGATCGAGGGCTAAAATGGCCCCTCACATCCACTCTACTATTGCTAGATTATACCGTTTTACAGCACTTTCTAACACAAACAAGTTCTATTATTTTCATAAAGTAATTAATTTTTATATTTGGAGTTAAAGGGATAATTTATCATTCAAATGAAAATCTAAGTAACTTAATTGGTGAAATTGTTTAAAAAAAAGCTGGCTTAGTCAAACTTTCCCCTTACTTGGTTCGAAATATAGCAAATTTTATTAATGATTAAATTATAACCAATAATATAGCTTTTCTTTATTGTTCAGATTGCTCAACATTTTAAAGTTTCCTTCTAAAACTTCTTTTCAAAATCTTCCTTGCAAGCATTTTTATAAGAACGGAAAACTATCTATAGAGAAGTCAACTGTAAAGAAATCTACCAGAACAATCAGACACATTTTCCGCGCTTTTATTTTGTGCTGTTCGATTTCCATCCTGTCCCGTTTCCACTCGAATTTTTATTTTCATTTTCCCTGTAAAAATAAATGCTCACGTTTTTTTTTTTTCTTTTTGGTTTTGTTTTGTACAAACATTTCCCATAACATTCATTTCTGAAAAACTACAATTAGTTCAAAAATTCATTTCATAGGCTCATTTATATTAACCGTTGAGTAAATTAAATATCAACCATTAAAGTGTTAATTACGGCCTATCTGCATAATAAAAATGTTGACGACTTAATTGTATTTTGTGATAGATAAACTATTTCTTTGAAGAAAAAAATTATTCTGAATTTCAAAAACTTATAACATTTTTTATTTGTCGACTAACTCGAATTTATAAATTCCAGGTATGGTTGGGCCAGCTATTTGCTTACTCGCGGTCACACAATCTGGTTGCCGTCCCGAACTTATAGTGGCTCTTTTTTCAATAGGGATGGCATTTGATGGCTGCATTTTTTCAGGATACAATGTTACTCACGTTGATATGAGTCCGAATTTTTCAGGTAAGTTCAGAAGTGGAAAAAAATAGGGAAAAAAGCGAAGCTTAGCTTCAACTATAAGTATTTATTTCCCTATACTGAGAAACCGGAGATGACTAGTTATATTTTGAAGTAATTAAAATAATCCTTCAAAATATAACCAGGAGTAATTATTTAAAATTGTTTGATAATGTATCTCTGACATAGTTTGATAATGTCCACTTCCTGCTCGAAGTGTAACAAAGAATCTGATACGCATTTATTTTTAAACAGTTGCAGCTTTACTCTTAAGTTTCAGTATAGTCTTGGCTCTAGCTTCACGATGCAAATTGGTTAGTATCTTCCTGACGTTTGGTAACTACTCTACTTTCATAAAAAAGTTTTATAAAATGGTAAGAAAATAAAAAAATTCTTGCAAAAATTTATTCAATTTTTGAATACTTTAACGGTCTTACCAAGGGATATAAAAGGCAAAACTGCTTTTTAGATAAAGTTTCGAATTTTTTATACTTAGTGGTGGGTAGAAATTTTGACTTATTTTTAATGTTTTGTGGTTCAAGAAATTTTATTAAAATCAATAATATTCATTTGACTTTTTAAAATTCAGAAAGATTTTTTTTGGGGACATTATACAGTATGCGTGCTTCAATGAGCGATTCTAAAAATATAGATACTTAAAATACATGTTTTAAGAAAATAGTTCATAATGAGAAGTAGAGAGAAGCGTAAAATGTATCACTCTAAATTTAAACATCGAGATCCCTGATATGGGTGTTCACTTTGACGTTGCATTTTGTTTTGTTGCGTAAGACTTTGATACTTCAAATAACGACTGAGTATAGAAAAACGTATTGGGAGTAGGACGGAAAGATTGAAAATAAGTTAGATAACCATTAACTGTTAAAGTGGTAGCAAAATATGCCGCGATTAATAGATAAATTTATTATATATATTTGTATAATAAGCTTATAGCTGCTCTGATGACAGCGAAAATCCAGTTACAGACTTGAAATTTGACGTGCCGAGAGGGCCATTTCTATTTTTGAACTTTGAGTTTTCCCATTTCTTTGAAAAAAATTTTTAATTTCAAGTACTTTTTTGCGAATTTTTCCCCTATTTTTACTTTGAATAATGACGATTTATTCATTGCAATGTAAAATTTATTTATCCTTCTCGAGATCTTCATTTCATAAACTCGTGCTTGAGTTGCTGTCAAGTGTAACAAGAATAAAGAAGGAAAAGAGGAGAAATTGGAAAATGTAAGATATGAACTTATAAATTTGAACATTTGTAGTGAAAATTTTAAAAATACTCATTCAATAAATGCAATTCCAAATACAATACAAGAAAATTAATTCAATGGAAAGAAAATCTGTTTCCCATTTGAACTGTTACGATGACATAAAGTTATGCATCGTTAGAGAGTAAAATCATTTCACATTTATTTCTTCTTATTAGGTCACCGATTCCTAAGTATAATTTATTGTTTTTCAAATCCAGGCAATCGTTCACTTGGCACGATTAACAAAACAGTCATTCATAAGTTTAGAACAATTATTAAGAAACTAATTTTTTTTTAGGACAAATATCGAGCTGCTAGAAGAAAGAATTATGAATGAGAAAGAACGAGGGCGTTTTGAACCCTCTGTTAAAAATTGGACATAGCTCAAAATGTGTGATAACATGGACAAGTATTATTAGAAAATGAATATAGCATTTAATTTAGTTTCTTCAACTACTGTTACGACCATTAAATTTTAAAAGAACCATCGAGCAAATAATGATTATTCATGGTACTTAAAAAAAACTAAGCTGCTTAACTAATATTTGGAAAAACAGAAACTAAAGATCTTTATAATAGGTATATAACAAATATGTATTAAAAATTTGAGTTAAACCGTTTACTAATCAATATGTTCAGTTTGTGCGGCACCTGGTTTGTTTCAAGTGCATTTTGATTTATGTATTTCAAGTTAGGTATCTCAATAGGCATTTTACCTATTTTCTTAAATACTCTTTTCGGTCTAATTTCATTTTTTAAATAAGCATTTCAAGCAATGAGAATTTCCTAAGGATGCAACTTTGATCTATGTCTATTTTTTTAACAGGCATTTCAAGTTATATAAGTTTTCGGAAAGGCTCATTTTGAAGTACTATCTTAAGCACATACAATGAGCTTATATCGAGATATATTCATTCTTTTCTTCAAATACTAAGGTTAAGTCTATTTTTTTAAGCGGACATTTGTGCTTCCAAAATATAAAGCTTTAGTTTGAAATAAAAATATGCGCCTATATTTCTATTTTCAGGAACTTTATACGGTATTGCGAACACAATATCCTGCTTGACTGGCTTTATATCACCCATGGTTGTTGGAGTTTTCTTGGAGAGTGGTGTAAGTAAAATATTTAATATTTATTGAAAATTAATTTTCTTTTAAGAAAAAACTTAGATACGACGTGTAAAGTTTTTTTTTTACTTACAGGAATTTTTTTTGCATTGTTTAATCAGAAAAAAACAACTATTAATGCACGTTTCACATCTTTACAATAAAATTTTGCATACTGATTAAAAACAAAGTGAAATCAACAGAAAAGAGTATGTAAAATCTCCTGTTTGAGAAGCATTCATTTTATTCGAAAGTTTTAAAAGGAATGTTAAAGTGACTTAATGCACTATGTTAAGCAATTTATGTGAATCTGAAAGCATGCAAATTTTTTATATAATGTAGTAGTAGCATAGAATGTAGTAGTATATAGTGTTGAAGTATATAATTTTCTTTCTTCGTCTTACCGATTTCACAGAAGTTTTGTTTAATTTTTCCTCTTAAGATCTTGTTTGGTTTCTTGTAATTGATCTCCTGGAACTTTTCTCTCCTCTTCTGTCATCCAACTGCTCCTCTTGATCACAATATGGTTTTAGCCTCAAGATTTCGTCTCCTTCTTTGACTTTCAATGCTTTCCACTTCATAAGTTATGCGTGTCATATTTCGAACTTCCGACCCGAAGTAGTATCTTAAAAGCTTCACGGAGAGCCCAACTTCTTCATATCTCTGATATTGTAGGAGACTGGTTGATGTCGTTTATCTGTCACTTGAGCATTCAAGTATATGGAGCTTTTCAAGTTGTCTAGCTTCCTCAGCCCTCGTGATGTGGTGCTGCATATTGGTTCCTTTTCTCATGATGAGAAATTGTGCAGAGAGGAGTCCGTGTTTCTCTGCCTTGAACAAGAAAGAGGGGTGCTGAATCCAGTGGTATCTTGTTTCGCCGAATTGTAAGCGAATGTCACAAAAAGCAAAATGGTATCCCAATTCCTCTGGTCAACGTAAGTATACTTGGACAGCATGCCTGCTAATGTTTTATTAAATCTCTCTATCAATTCTTTAGCTTAAGTATGATAGGCAGTCGTCTAAAAATGAGATTTCTGGCACAGTTCATTGACTTTTTTACAATATTAGTCAGGAAAGAACGTCTTTAATCACTTATCATTTCTTCCAGGGCCATACCCTTTTCTTCAGTATTATTTCTTCAACCATAAATTTTGCAGTTTCATTAGATTCAGAAGTTTTCATTGCTTTCGTGATGGTGAACCTCGTAAGATAGCCGGCGCAATGCCGCTGTTGTTTTTTTCAGGTAACTACAAAATGTCAAAGTAGGTCTGTTATGACTTTAGCAAATGGTCCACCAGGAGGCTTTATTGGCTGTAGTTGTCCTGGTGGCAATCGAAGGAGACATATATCGACTGTCTCTTACAAACCTGGTCAACAATATTTCCTCCTAATTCTAGCATATGTTATGGCAAATTCCAAAATGACCGGTGGTTGGGGCATCATGAAGACTCCTTAGAATATAAAGGTGGAGCTATTTTGGCACCACTAAAAGTCATTGATCGCCCTCCTGATCATAGTTCCTCTTGTACAGTATGATATTTCTCATCCTGTAATTTTGGTATTTCTTGCCATTCGTGAGAATTTTAATGTTCTTTAACTACTTTTCCTTAAACTGCTCTTTTCCATAGTATGTAATGGCTGCAAGGAATAAAATTTCATCGTTGTTGCCAATTTTGGCCACTGCTTCTTTAAGAGGCTTTCTAGAAAGGGAATCCGGGTCAGAATATTTACATACGCTTTTCTAGACAATGTTGATGTCATATTCCTACAATTTATTCCAAAATCCATTGTGTCAATCTTCCATGATAAAAGTATAGGCATAGAAAATTTTGGACGTTCGCAATATTTCTGATAATGGAAACTTGGTTATGGCGGCTATCTTTTCTGGATCAGGGTAGATCGAATGTTGATCAATTAAATGCTCCAATATCGTCCATTTCTCCCGGCCGAATGCGTATTTATTAGAGTTAAGAGTTGTTTTTTTTGAAGTGCACGTTAAAACCTTCCCCAACGCTACTTGATGTTCTTAGAAATTCGGGGCATATACTATGGCGTCATCTAGATAGTAAAGAGATATTCTTCTTAAAACCTCACAGAACTGTATTCATCTTTTTTTCGGAAGTTACTGGGGCGTTACACAATCCAAAAACAATAATATTTTAAATTCATCAACAGCTCATGTCCTTCTCATCAACATCTATTTGCCAGTAAATTGATTTTAAATCCATCATGGAGAAGAATCTTGCACCGTCAACACAGTTCAAAGCATCATCGATACGTGTCAGAGGGAAGACATCTTTTCTGGTTACTTTATTCAACTTTCTGTTGTCGACACAAAAACGCCATTCACCATTTTTTCTTCTTCACAAGAACCACTGGGGATGACCACGGATTGCTTAATGGTTGTAGGACGCCTTCTTTTAGCATTCTTTGTACTTCATTAATCACACTTCCCTCAGCGACTGATGTTCCATAAGGTCTCTGTTTGATTGAGATATTTGTGCCTATTTTGCACTTTACATTATTGACTCTCGATATCTTTGTTTTTCTATTTAAGTCAAAAATTTCCCAAAATTCTTCTAGAACATTGAGTAACTCACAGTATTCAAATGGTCAGTTCATGGTCTGAAATTCCTCATAGTCTTCAAGAGTTAATCATTTTTCTGGATTTGTGCTCTCTAGAACTTCGTTGGTCTTTATCAGTGATATAACTAAGCACGTCATTCATTATTGTTGTCAAGCTGCCTATTTTTCTTCTTTTTGGCACTATCTGAGTTACACGAGAGCGATTCTTTACCGCATGCTTTACAACAGCTATATTCGAAAAAGATAATTGAAGCTGGTATACATAACTGCCTTTTACATCTGAGAATTTCGTTTCCGATAATCACAGCTTGATCTGCTTCTCGAATAACTCGATTCAAAGCACATATTTGATTAACTGTGGTTAAACAGCATAACCTGTTGCTGAAAATAAGGAGCGATCAGATCGTTTGATGAAATATTATCTGGAACAATCTATGCAAGTTGGAGTTCTTCATTGCCACAATTTTACGAAGGCACCTGAGGCACGGAAAAAGTTCAATCCACGTATCATTTGGTGGCTACGATTCGGAAACACCGAGAATTCAAATAGTTCTGCAGCTCCATATAAATTTAATTTCAAAACACTCCTGAGGTGGTCACAGTCTTTTCACATGTAGTTTTCAATATTGGTCCCATCTCAGAAAACGTGGGTGCATTTAACTGCGTGCGTAATTCCTCAAATATGACAGAATAATCGCAACCTAAATGGACAAGAGCCCTCCCGTGTTGTCCATTTGCTATAACATAAGAAATGTTCTTTTTAAACTTGATTGTTGTATACTACAGAGAATTTTCAGCAATTGCGGCCTCACTTCGTCTCCCAAGTTAGTTTTTCTCGTGAGGTCACCGTACAGAATGACTAGATACGCGTATAGTTAATGCAGATTGTCGGTGATTAAACTGGTTGCGGGGACATATCAGACTGCTTCTGAAATCGGGGCTGGATTGTGCGTGGCTGTCGTTTAAACTGTATAGCGAGTCTATCTATTTATATAGTATAGAGAGAGAAACTACGAGAACTCGCCATCCTAGAATTTCTTGCTTTAGTACATACCTGTCGTTGTTCCCTACAGTATCTCAGCATAAGTTCGGGACGTCCATAATGGTAAAAAATTGGTACGTTAGTGACAGTTCTCCACAAAGCTGTCTTATGTTGTGGACTGGTTTTGTTTCCGGCTCTACGGTTTGAATGAGAACTAACTGGGACTGATTGTAAATGAGCAGTAATTTGTTTTCTATGCCTCGTAAGTGATGCGAGTGTCTACATTACTTCCTCTTGGACCGTCTAAAAAATGTTCTGGTTCCTTATCTTGATAAATTTTACTTTTCGCAAAATATTTTTGAAACTCTTCCCCTACAATGTCACGTAACAGTGAATGAATGTCATTAGTGTCCATTTCGGCCGAAGTTGAGGAAACTCTCTGGAATCTTAATCGGTCGATCCGCGATCGTCGAAGATTTTCAATTTGTCGGCAATGCTTCGACTGTTGAATAATCGTGTACTAACAGGATCTGATACATATCTATCGCAGTAGTTTTCATGAGATGTGCCACCTTTTCGTTTCAGTCATAGAGGGATTAGCCTTTTTGAACAGAGATAGCACATCTTGGATGTAAGATTCAGCCATTTTTGAACACGAGTGATGTATGCTGTAAACGGGCGAGCAAGAATATCTCTGCTTGCTGACGATAAAAGGTATTTTTCAGGAATTTTCGGTCCAATATGGTCCAATTTGTATATGTGTCCTCATCGTTATTGAACCATTGTCTGCGTGTTTCGGCCGGATAGAAAATTACGTTCAGCAAGCACGTTTGTTCATCCCAGTGATTATCGGTGTCAATCGGTTGAAAGTCATTAAGCCACCTGCTAGAATCTTGTTGGTTTACTCGGAAAAAGATGCACGCATTCCTAGGGAATTGAGGTATATCATATCAAGATTGTACTGTAGCAGTGTGGGGCTGTTAATCCTCAGGAATATTTCCAGGACTTCTACTTGGATTCGGCAAAATTCCAAACTCAGGAGGTAGTTCTTGAAGCCGTTTGCTTCTGCGTAGCTTTTCCGTTGTTCTTGATACCTATCGATACTCGGTGTCTCCATCAAACTGTCACGTAGATAAGTGTGGGATTACTAAAGGAAAAAGAACAGAAAGAGTGTTAATTTCAATTTAAGATTTTATTCAACTGAACGCAATGCTATTTGAGCCTACATACAAGCGTCGAATTTTCTCAAACACAGTATTCCAAAATCCAAAAATTCTAGAAATTGAATAGTTGACAACATGAATATTAACGAAAAAATAAAAAGGATTTATAATGTATTTTTCATCCAAAATCAGCTTTTAGTCAACTTGCAATGGAGCAGGATTTGATCTCCCAACCATTGGCTTCATATTCCGATGCTTTACCACTCAGTCACCGACTTCACAGGAAGGCGTAGCAAGTTATGTTACAATATTATATAAATAAAACAGTTGTTATTAAATTTCTTTTTTAACCTTGAATTTACATTTCATTTATTTATTAAGATTTCAAAAAAAATTCGCGCTTTATGATACCCTTTTTTAGAATGGAATATACGACTCTAATATATTAAATATGATCTGCCAATAAATAACGTCTGCAGAGAGTAAAGAGCATATACACCCAGTTAGTACAACAAAGTTTTCCTTTTTAAATAAGTGCAAACTCTGCATGGAACATATTTTGTTTAAGCTTAAAGAAAATTATAAGAGCTTTGAAATCGATTAGAGCAGAGGAGAGAATAAAATAATCAACAGACAAGTTTGTTTCTCAAGGTAGAATTCGTTTGTATTTCTTTAGGAATCATTTTAATATAAATTGGTTTTTTGAACATTTTAAATCCTTTTGAATATTTTGATCTATAAAATGTAATATCATTTTTTGTATCACAAAAATATTAACTTGTAACTTTTTATCTAAATGTTTTTGACTTCTTTACATGCACAGCATAAATTGCAGAAGGAATATATGTAACATAATTAATTTAAAAGCCTTTAAATTTCTTTCAGGCAACCATGGCAAATTGGAGTAAAGTTCTATATACAACTGTTCTTATTTATATATTTTTTGCGATCATGTTTTTAATTTTCGCATCAGCTGAGTTACAGTCTTGGAATTCTGAAAAAGTTTCCCCAAAACAAGAATGCAAAATGGTGGATGGAATATGTGTCAGAAACTTCGACAGAGGAACTGAGTTAACTCATAGACAGCCATTCTCAAACACTGACAAATTTTGACGCTTATTGATGTGTGTTACATTTATAATATGCTTTAGTGTTAATAATTTTGTTACTTAAAGAAAATCGAACAGCAAAATTTAAGAACAGTTACATGAGACTTGCAAGTTTGTTATATGCTGAACCATGAAATTCTCCTAAATGACATGAAACAAAAATTTTTTACCCAACATTAGGGTATCGATGAAGTATCTTTCTGCTGTCAAACTTTTCATTGCACAGAGAAGAGTTGCCTAAATCGAATCACTTCTGATTTCTCAAGAAACATTGCGTAGAGAACGCACGAACCTTTTTTTTTACATGAAGATCTACGCAGAAGAATCAAATCGCAGTGTACGTGCGTTGCGTTTTTATTTAAGTAAATCAGTTTTACGAGTTTTCAATATAATTTTTGAACATCCTGCATAAGGATTTGGTGGAACTAAAGTATTGTACAGATTATTTAATACATCGTATAGTTGTCGAGAATCTTGTTCTGTTATTTTCTACTTGTTTCCTTGCTAGAAAATGGGCTTAGAATAGCACTTCATTTAAAAAATTGGGTGGTAGCATAAATCGTACCCTGTGTACATTCCTAAATACTGAGGTAAAATTATACCGATACGATTTAGAAGCAACGTATCAACTTTAACTACTGAACAGGTTGGATTTCAAGCCATTAAAACTGTACTTCATCCAAACTGCCGGAAAGAACTGTTAATGAATTATTTTCCACCCAAATTTTTCATCCCGTGAGTGAAGTTTAAGAACAGTGAGATAAGACAATTAAGAACAGTGTTTAAACAGATTTAACTATTCTGATGCGTCAATCCTTAGAGAAATCGACTTTAACAACAGGGAATCTTTATCCATGCGCGAATGCATCGGAGAAAAAGGAAACCATTTCAATTATTTCAGTAAATTCAATGAATTTCATAAGTTTATGTGGAGACTTATTTTCCTTTTTCCAAGGAAGGAAAAAATTATTAAAAACATCTAAGTGACGAGCCTTCTGGTTAGTCAAGTAATGATCGAGTAATTATTGGTTAATAAGACCTATCTATACCAGTATCAGTTGATAGACCGATCTGGTTAAGTACTATCTATGATAAAGGCTTCAACTTCCCCATTTCTAAAATCTAAAAAAGAAAATTGGTTATTGATCTTAAAAAGATGCAGTCTTAAACAGTAGCACAAATAAAAGTTTCACTTGAGCTAAATAGCACGTCACATAGTTTACTTTACATTTTATATGCTTATAATATTGTTACTATGTTTGTAATAACTCTAAAATCTAGAAATTACATTTCTTATTATGCTATTAAACACATTGTTTTGGGTTAAACAAGGTCTACTTATTCACTCAATCATAAATAGTTATTATTTTTAGGGTAGTACAATTTAGGGATCAAGTAATACAAATTCGGGAACCGGCTTCTTTAATCGTATTAATTGCACACTTTGCGAAAACAATGAATTTTCAGTATGACCAAAAAATAGTATTTTATTCATAAAATATTTCAAATGTAGTTCTAAGCGATCTATGACTTATAAAATTATAAATGTGAAAGTGGTACAATGGTCTAAGAAGTGAATGTTTACAGTCTTTGATTTGTTTTTTATTGGAAGGGAAATGAGAGAATATTTTAATCTTCATGGGAACACCTCCTACTGATCCTAGAGTTCATTATTCCTTCCTTACCCATATAAGTTTTGCTGCCTGTTATTGGAATGATAATTTTATTCGGACTCATTGCAATTAGCTCTGAAGGACAATATATTTAACTAGTATTTCTTTGTAGAACGCAGTGTTTAATAGTGCTGTGATGGATGCTATATTATAGATAAATCAAAATGTATTCTTAGAGTTACATTTCGGATTTTATCTTATCCTGAAATCAAAATAAATATGTAATTGTTATTAAAAATTCTAAAGTTAATTAGAAAATGCATTTATAATAGGCAGACTCTCAAATTTTAAACGAAAAATTAAATTATTCATTATATTTGTGTAAAAAAAAAAAACGTGATGTTGATAGAAAATTGCATTTAAAATTTGCGAATTCTAATCCCATATGCTCAAAAAAGAAAAGCACCAAGTCATTCCACTACAGGTATACCATATTTTTTTATTTACTAAATATGTAATTATTCGTAACCCCACAAATAAATTTAAGTTTAATTCAATTTTATAAAGAGAGAAAGTTCCCATTAAATACAATGGTTTTTATTTCAATGCAGGTATCATTATTATTCAATGTCACGACAACTGAGCATCCATTTTTTAACTTTTTTTTCGTGAACGACAATAATTACTTTACTTTATCTTTTTGACCTACAGAAAATTATTTAAATATTAAAATTATCTGAATTGGTTTGACTTTTTCGCACCTTTAATAAATCTCTACTGTCGATACTCATATTTGAATTGGCTTTTGATCCATTGGGGGATCACATGGCCTGTTTCTACTAACATTATCCAATATTTATTATTTCAATTAAACTGTTTTTTGGTTTCTTGAGATATCAGCATTTTATTATTAATTTACGAAATAAAAGCTTTATTCTGATTAATATTCTATTTTCATCGCCTACGATTTATTTCATTTTCAACATATACGGTCTGTAATTGTATGTTCGTATACAAACTCAGTGAAGCAGTCAAGTCTTAGTATTGCCTTCCATAATATAAATTTCTGCCATAATCAACAAAATTTCTTCTACTTCAATTAATTATCCACAACAGCGACAAAATTATCTTCATAAACCGAATCTTTTTCTCTTATATGAGATTAAATTTACACATAAGAAAATTTTTTCATATCAGCATATTGCAGAATTTTTAAAAACACGAAACTTTATTTTACAGAAGTGTTTCATTTCTTCAAAAGATGTCTGTTGATCCAGTAGATAAAATAAACATCAGTGATAAAAGGGGAATTAAATACAGTCGAATGAATACTTTTTAACATTCCTTAAGAATATTTATTAGCTTAATGAAAAAAATATCCTGAACACTAAGTGTAACATTGCTTATGAAAGAAAAAAGAATTGTATAAATTATTTACATTACAAATTGTTTCTCTCTATTTAGAGTAAATAAGTCAATTTAAGGCAGCCAATTTATTACTCGACCTAATAAATCACGCAAACAAATCACATATTTTTTAAACTAAACTTTTTTAAACTATTAACGAAACAAATTGACGAAAAGCAACGAAGCAAATTAAACTTTAAGTTTTGTGGGCTCTATAACTCTTTAAAAAATAGATCTTTAACAGATAGATCAAGTTCAAAATGAAGATAAAACAAAGGAAAATTATAGATATATGCAAAGGGGGGGGGGAATAATAATGAAAAAATAACAAACAACTGATTTTAAAAAAAAGAGAAAAAAGGATGAAATTTTTTAAAAAAAACAGAAAATAAAAGACATAATTTTTTCATCAGCCCACACGATTATATCCGCAAAAAAAAGTGCTTTCTGATATTGAATCAATATAGCCGAAACAAAATATATTAATACAATAGTGTAAGGAGCACTCAAAAAAATTTTTTACAAAAATTACAACAAATAAAATAGAACACAATAAGTAAAAATAACACGTAAAAACAGACACGTAAAACAGTATAAAACAAAACAAAAGCTATAAAGCGAGTAGTGAAATCACATGAACGGGAAATTTTTCAAGAATGATTTAAAAATATTTTCGCAACAAGATTGCCAGATTGCAAAATATGAAAACAAAAGCGCAAATTGAGTGTAACTATAGGATTTTAAAGTGCCGTTCTTACTGCATTGCTAAAGGGATTTGCTATGCTGTGCATTGATTTGTTAGTTACCAAGGACGGGCACGAAATGGATGTGCTCGAGGTAATATTATACTGGATAATTTAAGTAGTTGACCATAAATAATATTAGAAAATAAATATTTATTTAAGAAAAAATATAAAATAGAAAAGAGAAACATAAATTGCATGTTTTGCAAGTAATTTTAGTCATGGATTTGCCCGAAATGGATTTGCACATGAAAAAATTAATACAGAAATTTTTAGTAAATAATTTTACCCACGGATTTGCCAGATATGGATCTGCACATGGAAAGATTACAATAATTAACAAAGAAAAATTATTTTAGTAGATAATTTTAGCCACGGATTGGCCCAAAATGGATTTGCACATGGAAAAATTGTAAAAATTAATAAATAAATTCTTAGTAAATAATTTTACCCACGGATTTGCTCAAAATGGATTTGCACATGGAAATATTATAAAAATTAACAAAAAAAAATTTTTTTAGTTGATAGTCTTAGCCACGGATTTGCCCGAAATGGATTGGACATGGAAAAATTATACAAATTAACAAGGAGATTATTAAGTAAATAGTTTTGGCAACGGATTTACCCGAAATGGATTTGCACATGGGAAATTATATAAATTAGCAAGGAAAATGTCTAGTAAATATATCCACAAAAACATACGATTAATACAAGGATTTTATATAAAATTTTATTATTTTAGTAGGGTATCCATTGTTTTTTTATCAAATTTTGAAAGAGTTTATCGATTTTTTTTTGGATAAATAAATAATACTACAAATTCTTTTAAATCTGTTCATTTCATTAAAAGTGGTATTCAAATAGATGCTCCTAGAAACATTAGAATTCCAAGCAATTAGCTTATTAATATTAAATCATTTCTTTTATCATATAAATCAACAAAGCAGATATTTTCAACTTTTATAATACCCAAATCCAAAAAATTGAAATTAATATTATCATCATGATTACGAAGCAAGATTAATTCCTCAGGGTAAATATCATTTAATAAAATAGTATAATCTTGGAAATTAAAGATTATTAAGTCATCAATGTATCTAAAAACAAATTTAATACTAAGAGTATAATTTGTTTCATAATAATGCAAAAATAAATTAGCTAAGAGAGATGAATAATTAGATCCTTAGGGTATTCCATCAATTTGAAAACAAAGAGATGAATAATTAGATCCTTGTGTTATTCCATCAATTTGAAGACAAAATATCCTTTCCATTGTAAAGATAATTACGAAAAAGACAAAAATTAATCAAAATTTCCCAATAATCAAAATCGCAACAACGGATACTTTTGAAATCATAGTAATAATTCAAAAGGACATCTTTTAGTATAGAAAGGGGAATGCTATTGAAAAGATCCTGTGATATATATATACGTCAATCCTTAGAGAAATCGACTTTNATAGATAGATAGATAGATAGATAGATAGATAGATAGATATAGATATAGATATAGATATATAATTTAAAAAAACTCAATAACTAACAATTCTATTAAGAAGTTTTAAGAAATTTTTAGGTTAATAAATTTTTTTCAAATGATTAATGCTTACATTTAAACGAAGTTGCTCACTTCTCTAACCGAACATTGGTTTCACAATTTTGGTACCTTCTTTGATTTTTCTTTAAATTTGTTTTTATTTTAGACTTGGCTAGAAAAATTCAATTCAGTTTCCTTGAATATAATTATTTGAGAAAAATTTGCATTTGACACCTCTCACGACTCTTATACTACAAAGCTTTTTTCTCTCAGTCTAATACTAGATTTCATAATGCAAATCTAACATTTAGGAATTGCGAATAATGCAAACATGTAATGTTCCGCCATTATTAAATAGTACGCTCCAATATTGTTTAGAAAATTTTTGAAAGAAGGGGAAACAAGCGAATTAGTTTGTATTTATAAGTTTAGTAGAGTAATTATGATTAATTCAATCTGAAATAACATGAAAAAGATTATAAAAAGACGTGTTGGATAAAATTAAAAAGAAATAGCAGTTGGCGTATGTTAGTTAGAGTTACTTTTGTTACGAACATTCTTCATCTATCTACTTGTTTTATATCTGCAGTCTACTCTTCTATTTTAATATTCAAGGCTACAGTAAAAAATATTGAAAATGATTGAGAATTTCCTCACAATTTGATATCTCATTCATACGTATTCGATAATTTCGATTCGTTTTCGAATTTCAATATTAAAAATATTATTTTTTCCTTTAAGAAATATCTCGTAACAGACGACAAACAAATAATAATTTTTATTATTATTCTTTTTTGCATCACGTGATAGTGATTCGATTCTGTAATAAAAGGTTTTTTTAGCGCGACTTTAAACTTTAAAACAAATTTTTTTTTAAAATTCATTTTACCTTTAGTATACTTTTTCCGAATATCAACTTTATAATCTTTCTAAATTTTTTTTCATTTTAAAACGTATGGTTATGAAACTGATAGTAATTGTAGCTACTGTATTGTAGCTAATTCCAGCTACTGTATAAAGAAATTCTCA